CTCTGAAAAATTTTATGCACATTTCACAGCTTCCTGAGTCTGTCTCTGCAACATATTTGTGACTTTTTTTCCCCCCCAGCAGATGGGGTCTTGCTCTGTCACCCAGGTGGTGGGGCAGTGGCACAATCATAGCTCACTACAGCCTTGAACTCCTGGGCTCAAGCAACCCTCTTGCCCCAGCCTACTGAGTAGCTAGGATTACAGGTGCATGCCACCATGCCTGGCTAATTCTTTCTATTTTTGAGAGATGGGATCTCACTACATTACCATATTGGTCTCAAACTCTGGCCTCAAGTGATCTTCCCAAGTTGCTGGAATTACAGGCACAAACCACCACACCTGTTTTTGTAACCTGAGAGCGTCCAGACGTCTAGCCACATATGCGATTTCAATGGATTCTGGTGTAGTCTCTCTCTCCCCTAGGGTCAGGCAAGATGTCATCACTTGTCATACATACATATACAGCATCTGCCAGATTCTCTCACCTAAAGCCCTCATGAATAGATATATACTGGGGTGGCTGCTGTACCCTGAATCCACTTCAGACCACTTTAGGAATTCATCTGAGCACCTTCTAAATGGAAGTCCGCAAGAGGCATAAAGGTGGCCTCACTACACCATGGTTGAGTGAGTGGACCTGCTCCCAGTGTGATCACCGAATGTGGTTCCAGGGTCCCTTTCTCTCTCCAAAGGGCCTTGGGGCTAGGAAAGCAAATTTGTCTTAATGTAACTCTTAGAAATTCATAAATCAAAGACAAGTTTCCTTCTCTTAATGTAACTCTTAGAAATGCGTAAACCTGGTGCCAGTTGAACATCCTGATCCCAAAATCTGAAACCCAAAATGCTCCAAAATTTGAAACTTTTTGAGTACCTATATGATGCTCAAAGAAAATGCTCACTGGACATTTTGGATTTTGGATTTTCAGGTTAAGGATGCTGAACTGGTAAGTATAATGCAAATATTTAGAAATCTGAAAAAGTCCAAAATACTCCTGATCCCAAGTATTTTGGATAAGTGATACACGAGCTATAATAAAATTATTTTTATTTTTATTTTTTTATTAACAGGGTCTCACTCTGTCACCTAGGCTGGAATGCAGTGGTGTAATCAGAGCTCACTGTAGCCTCAACCTCCTATGCTCAAGTGATCCTCCTACCTCAGCCTTCTAAGTGGCTGGGCATACAGGAGAATGCCACCACACCCAGCTCCTGTGATAATATTAGAGAATTAAATAATTCAATTAACAAGATTGGTAGATACTTGAACAAAATTTGGGCTTTGCCCACACGGAAGATAGGGCATGACTATTAGACACAAAAAAATGCCTGCTACAATTCCCTATATATATTTAAATTATTTCCACAATAAAATATATTGCCTACATGATTAAAGAAGGAAAGAAATAAAGGTAATCAAATTGAAGGGAAAATGGAAATATAAAACTAAGAAATGCTGTCATATTTTGAGGTATTTGAGGAGATATGCTGGTAAAATAAGCAGCCTCATTTGCTAAAAGCCAATTCAATGATTGACCAATTCACCACATTTACTTGCTCCTTTTACTTATTTACAAGGTTTTTGGCAATTCATACTGGATAGTACTCTTTTAACAGTTTTTGAACATTTCTGCAAAATATTTGTTGGCCAGTATTCCTTTATGTCTGTATAACAGCATTTTAAGGAATATTCAATCTATCTTAGCCCAGCTAGTTCGAAGACAAGGTATATGTAGGAGAAAAATATTCACAAGATAAATAAAAAATAAATCAGTAAGAAAAAGGCAGCCCAATTGAAAAATGGACAAAGAATATTAATAGGCTGTATTAGTCTATTTTCACACTGCTGATTAAGACATACCCAAGACTGGCCAATTTACAAAAGAAAGAGGTTTAATGGACTTATAGTTCCACGTGGTTGGGGAGGCCTCACAATCATGGCTGAAGACAATGAGGAGCAAGTCACATCTTTCATAGATGGCAGCAGGCAAAGAGAGAGCTTGTGCAGGGAAACTCCCCTTATAATACTATCAGATCTCGTGAGACTTATTCACTATCACGAGAACAGCATGAGAAAGACCTGCCCCCATGATTCTATTACCTCCCACCAGGTTTCTCCCACAACACATGGGAATTCAAGATGAGACTTGGGTGGGGACACAGAGCCAAACCATATCATTCCACCCCTGGCTCCTCCCAAATCTCGTGTCTTCTCCCAAATCTCATGTCTTTATATTTCAAAAGCAATCATCCTTTCCCAACAGTCCCCCAAAGTCTTAACCCATTTCAGCATTAACTCAAAAGTCCACAGTCCAAAGTCTCATCTGAGACAAGGCAAGTCCCTTCTACCTATGAACCTGTAAAATCAAAAGCAAGTTAGTTACTTCCTAGATACAGTGGGGGTATAGGCATTGGGTAAATACAGCTGTTCCAAATGGGAGAAATTGGTCAAAACAAAGGGGTTACAGGCCCCATGCAAGTCCGAAATCTAGCAGAGCGGTAAAGTCTTAAAGCTCTAAAATTATCTCCTTTGACTCCATGTTTCACATCTGGGTCATGTTGATGCAAGATGTGGGATCCCATGGTCTTGGACAGCTCCGCCCCTGTGGCTTTGCAGGGTATAGCCTCCTTCCTGACTGCTTTCACAGGCTGGCGTTGAGTATCTGCAGATTTTCCAGGTGCATGGTGCAAGCTGTTGGTGGATCCACTATTCTGGGGTTTGGAGGATGGTGGTCCTCTTCTCACAGCTCCACTAGGCGGTGCTGCATTAGGGACTTTGTGTGGGGGTTCCTACCCCACATTTCCCTTCTGCACTGCCCTAGCACAGGTACTCCATGAGGGCCCTGTCCCTGCAGCAAACTTCTTCCTGGACATCTAGGTGTTTCCATACAGCCTCTGAAATCTAGGCAGAGGTTCCCAAACCCCAGTTCTTGGCTTCTGTGCACTCACAGGCTCAACACCATGTGGAAACTGCCAAGACTTGGGGCTGGCACCCTCTGAAGCCACAGCCTGAGCTCTTCATTGGCACCTTTCAGCCACAGCTGGAATGGCTGGGACACAGGGCACCAAGTCCCTAGGCTGCACACAGCATAGGGACCCTGGGCCCAGCCCATGAAACCATTTTTTCCTCCTAGGCCTCCAGACCTGTGATAGGAGGGGCTGCCATGAAGACCTCTGACATGCCCTGGAGACATTTTCCCCATTGTCTTGTGGATTAACATTCAGCTCCTCATTATGTAAATTTCTGAAGCCAGCTTCAATTTCTCCTCAGAAAATGGGATTTTCTTTTCTAATGCATTGTCACGCTGCAAATTTTCCAAACTTTTGTGCACTGCTTCCCTTATAAAACTGAATGCCTTTAACAGTGCCCAAGTCACCTCTTGAATGCTTTGCTGCTTAGAAATTTCTTCCACAGACACCCTAAATCATCTCTCTCCATTTCAAAGTTCCACAAATCTCTAGGACAGGGGCAAAATGCTGCCAGTTTCTTTGCTAAAACATAAGAGTCACTTTTGCTGCAGTTCCCAACAAGTTCCACATCTCCATCAGAGACCACCTCAGCCTGGATTTCATTCTCCATATCATTATCAGCATTTTGGTCAAAGCCATTCAACAAGTCTGTAGGAGGTTCCAAACTTTCCCACATTTTCCTATCTTCTTCCAAGCCCTCCAAACTGTTCCAATCTCTGTGTGTTACCCAGTTCCAAAGTCACTTCCACATTTTCAGGTTTCTTTTTGGCAATGGCCACACTCTACAGGTACCAGTTTACTGTATTAGTTCGTTTTCACACTGCTGATAAAGACATACCTGAGACTGGGCAATTTACAAAAGAAAGAGGTTTAATGGACTTACAGCCCCACATGGCTGGGGAGGCCTCACAATCATGGCTAAAGGCAAGGAGGAGCAAGTCACATCTTACATGAATGGCAGCAGGCAAAGAGCTTGTGCAGGGAAACTCCCCTTGTAATATCATCAGATCTCATGAGACTTTTTTCACTATCATGAGAACAGCATGGAAAGACCTGCCCCCATAATCCTATTACCTCCCACTGGGTCTCTTCCACAACACATGGAAATTCAAGATGATATCCCCTTATAATATCATCAGATCTCATGAGACTTTTTTCACTATCATGAGAACAGCATGGAAAGACCTGCCCCCATAATCCTATTACCTCCCACCAGGTCCCTTCCACAACACATGGAAATTCAAGATGAGATTTAGGTAGGGACGCAGCCAAACCATATCACAGGTAATTACAGAATCAGAAACACAATTGGCCAACCAACATATGACAACATTTTCAACATTACTAGTATTCAAAAAAATACAAAATAAAGTAGCAGTATGATGTTTATTTTCACAAAGCATATTATCAGATAGTTAAAGAGTAATAGGGTTATTGAAGGTATTTCTGAGATCAAGCCTTTTCATTGAGTTTAATGTTGATGTGCATGTAAATTGGTACAGCATTTGTGGTAGGCAGTTGGACCCCTTATCAACATTAAAATGCATGTGTACACTTTGAGGTAGTGGGGAGCTGGGGAAGAGTGGCAGGGGCTAGGGGAATGGACACAATGGGAGGTACTAAAGGACTGGAATGTAAAGGCGGGGGATGTGTGGGGCCAGGAGAGATTTGGAAGAACTAGGATTGATTGGGGGAGGGGGAGAGGAGATAAAAGGCATTTAGAGGGACTGATGGAAATAAAAACAAATGAGAGGGATTGGAAATAACTGAAGAAACTTAGAGGGATAGGAAGAGAAGGGGTGGGACTGGCAGGGACTACACATGTAAAATGGAAACAACTGGCATTCAACAAATTGACCTACAGCCACTGGCAAATAGGACCTGTTCACATTGACCAGGGCCCCCCGGGAGAATGAGGTTTGTTAGCAAACAGGAAACACTGATTTTCAGAGTGGTACTAACTATGCTTTGCAGAGTTCTTTTTACTTTGTGTCATCTTGACTCTATTATTACATTGTATTTTGCTTCTACAGAGCAGCCTGAGCTCTTTGAAGACTCCTTAGTCCGAAGCCTCTGGTGGCCGATGGTCTGCATCTTTCCCATGTGCTCCTGAGGTACAAAATGGACATTTCAGCTGCTTTTAATAGAAACTCACTTTGTCACTCGTAAAACTCAGGAAGCTGTCCCAAATCCTGGGAGGACATGAAAAGAGGCTCACTCTGCAGTCGAGTGCAGGTATGCCTATGGTATGCAGGTCCCAAGACTCTCCACTTCTCTCTTAGTTTGAAGTGGGCATTCTTTTAAGAAGTAGAGGACCCTGTGGTCACTGGCTTCCTTAGTGGTTCATGTGATTCACTGTCCACACAGTGAATCACAGGACAATCAGAGAGCAGGAATCTGCAAAGGGGGGATGTCATGTGCTGAATTGTATCTCCTTAACATTTATAGATTGAAGTGCTAGTCTCCAATATCTCAAGATTTGACAGTATTTGGAGGTGGGGCTTTTAAAGAGGTGGTTAAGCTAAAATGAAGCCATTAGAGTGGTCCTTAATCCAATATGACTGGTCTCCTTATAAGAAGGAGAAATGCTAGGGATGTGGAGGCACAGAGAAAAGCCCATGTGAAGAGGCAGCAGAAGAGTGGCCATGTGCAAGCCAAGAAGAGAGGCCTCAGAGGAAGCCCGCCCTGCCAACACTTTGATCTTGAACTTTCGGCTTCCAGACTGTGAGAAAATAAGTTTTTTTTGTTTAAGCCACCCAGTCTATGGTATTTTGTTATGACAGTCCTAGCAGAGACTTGAAAGCCTAAAGGCTTAGGGTCCTGGGAAAATAAAAGTTGAAATTCAAGTCCTCCAGTTAACTGTTATTAGGAACAGGAACTGTTTGAAAATACCTTCTTTAAGTATAGAAGAGGCCCCTGCTACACTCCCATACACATTTTCACTTTTTGTTTAGGAAGCGTAGAGCTTGCTGTTACACTGCCCTAAAAGTTCCTGGGTTGAGCCAGTTGCCAATAGTAAGTTGGTAAAGAAAAATAGGGATGTCTGGCCAATTAGGCTGGGTCTTTCAGTTGTCATATCTTCTACCCCTGCTAAAGGATTAGTCTTGGGCTTTGTAGATTCAAAACAAAATTTAGTTCAGGCCTAAGTAAGTAATTTACACACTAGTTCTAAGTAATTAATTGGAATTCACTGATTAACTGTGAGAACTATATTTTTTCAGGAATACTGAACAATTCATGGTAGACTAGTCCTAAAAAATCTTTTCCCATTAGGAAGAGCTAAGTGAAGACCAAAAAAAATGTACCTTGGAAATATCCTTGTGACCCTTGTCCAACTGAAAAGTCACTTCCTTAGCAATGCTTCCTCTCACTTTCCTGGGGAGCATTAGATTGCCTCTGCTCTGAGATCCCAAGGAACCTTCTGTCAGAAACCTCAACCCACAGTATTTTAATTAGTCGAGTATAAGCCTGTATTTCCCATTAGACTGTGAGCTCCAAGAGGAAAGGGATTGTGTGTTATCTATCAAGTTATATTAATAGTATCTAGATTTAAAAAGGAGGCTGGGAATGGTCTCTCACGCCTGTAATCCCAGCACTTGGGAGGCCGAGATGGGCAGATCACTTGAGGTCAGGAGTTCAAGACCAACCTGGCCAACATGGGGAAACCCCATCTCTGCTAAACTATAAAAAGTAGCTAGGCATAGTGTTGCATGTCCCAGCTACTCGAGAGGCTGAGGCAGGAGAATCACTTAAACCTGAGAGGCAGAGGTTACAGTGAGCCAGCATGGCGCCACTGCACTCCATCCTGGGCAACAGAGTGAGACTCTGTCTCAAAAAAATAAAATAGTAAAATAAAATCAATAAACAGATGAATGAATGAATGAATGAATGAATGAAATTATGATAGTCCATGTCTATAGGACATGGCTTCCAAATGGACAAGAAGACCAGTCAATCATCCGTCCATCCATCCCACCAGTGCTGATGACATGGTGATAAATCCTTACTCCCTAGCTTTTCCAGACTCTTCAAGGACAATCACTCTTCTACAGGTAGTTATTTGTCCTGTACCCTTCTGTTTTGTCTGAATTAACAAATAGTCTTTTCCCTGATTTTATTCGCAAAGAAGCCCCTTACTCTCACCACTAAACTATCTTCAAATCACAATACAGCATGAAAAATTTCTGGGACAGTCTTCTAGAAGAAATGTGCTCTCCATAAACTATGATGCCTGTGATCTATACCTCCTGATCTGGCCTCCAGGTGTTTAACCCATCTCAGTTTTGGGTTTGCTCACCTCTGTCCACTGACGGCACTTCCTACACATTCTGAATGGGCTGTTACACCCCCAACTCCAGTTCTTCAGGTTAGATATTTGAGTGGGGTCATGAAGATGGATGGATATCAGTTAAGCAAAGGACATTGGGTAAATATTGAGCATGGGAAAGCCAGGAACTTGAGCTCAATTTTTAGAGGTCAAAAATCATAAAGAAATCCGAAATTCAAGAACTTGATTCCTAGGAAAGTGCAGACATCCAAGGGTTTCATGTTTCCTATTAGGGCAGGACTGAAGGCCTCAGTATAGATGAGCCTGAGCCTAAAGATGTGGATGCTTATATGGTTTTGCTGAGCTGAGAGAAAGATAATAAAGGGGCACAACTTCAGACTAGTGAAAAGTTGAAGGGGTAGGTTCTTTGGGCCCTGGTATTCCAAAGAAACTAGCCAAACTTGGCAGATTCAAGTTTCAACATTGTCTTTTTCTTTGTATAATCCCTATCTACATTCCAGTTGATTTTTCAACAAGCCCCCTGCGTATTGCTGAATTTTAAGCTTCATGAGGGCATGTTTAAGCTGAATTTTAAGCTTCATGAGGGCACGTTCACTGCTGTATCCCCAGCACCATCACCTAGAACAGTGGTAATCAACAAGTGTTTGCTGAATCAATAATAGTAGATGTATATATGGGTAGATGGATGTGTGAACAAATCTGTTTCCATCCATTGTACGGTGCATACTCCTAGTCCCCATGATGATTTATGATTCTCTCTGTGATAGGTCCCTTTGTCCAGCCACCTGCCTCTTGGTAGCTCTGAAGGCCCTTAGTCATTTGGCTCAAAAGCCGTAGCTTTGGAGACTAGCTTCTTATTAACTAAGCCATTGCACCACTTGCTCTTGTAGCCTTAAATTAATTTGAGTTAATTCTTAACTGTTTCCCTTCTGTACATGTGTCATTTAATGGTTTGCCTTTATCTGATTTTCTCCAGTTTTTCCTGTACATTTGTGGTTGTCTACAGAAGCCCTCTAGCCAAGGCCTCGGGCAGCCCTACCAAATGAATATGGGCATCTGAGTTTTCTAGGAGGCCTCTTCTTCCGCCCTGGGTCTCATCCAACTGGTATCCATCTAAACATTCCCACCCAGGGTTATTTATGCTAGAGGAAGAAGAATGCCCTTTCCAGAGCCAGTTCTTGGGGAAAAGAGGAACTGTTGATATAGCCAGAGCCCAAAAAGAAGATTACTCTGCAACAGCTAAAGGTTGGTGACATACTTTTTCTCCAACTTAGTGAAAGCTCTCTATGTTTGCTTTCTTTCCCATGAATTCCATTAGTGTATTTTCTCTCAATGACCCTTGGAACAAACAGATAGGAAAGATTTTAAATCAATAGAATAAGCTTCATGGAGACCAAGAGTTTATCTGTTATTGATTCCCCAGCATCTAGCGTAGTGCCTGACATGTTGATGCTCAATAAATAATTGATGAAGAAAGAAAAGAAAGACAGGAGGAAAGAATGGCAGAAGAGAAAGAAAAAGGGATTGGAGAGTAGGTATGAATGTAAAAAGTGTTAATGTTATTCAGAAATCATGTGATGATAACAGTCTTGTTTTCAAAGTTAATTGGGTATGTTATCCCTGCTATCTGGAATCAATAAAGCAATTGAAGTTACTTTGTAAAATGAAGAGTGTATTTATAAAGATAAAATAATAGCAGACAAGCAGAATAACAACAAAAAAGGTATTCTTTGAAACTTAGGTGTAAACAGCAGTGATCATATTTTAAGATAAATTCAAAACTCTGTAACATTATCAGCCATTTGTTCTGTGTCTATGCCAGTTCTCAAAAGCGAATTGAAACAGTGAAGAACTTTATTTTGGTGTACAAACAGATGTCTTATGGATAAATGCAAGCTGATCATGGTGGTGATAGAATTGATTGCAACTGGTCCATTTGGTATTTAGAAAAGGTCAGCTAATCAGGAATGATGCACTGAGGAAATTTATAAATATCTAACTTTCCTGCCATTGAGCAAAATTAACCACACAGTAATTTAGCAAAGGCTCAAAACTATTTAATTGTGTGTCAAGGAAAAACAGCTCGGTGCAGGGGAAAAAAATTAAGAAAATTAGCGTTTTTTTTAGTATCAGTCTTTCATTTATTTGAGATCATACATTGACACACTTCAGGTCCAGCAAGCCAACTTTAAATGACATACACTGTTCATTGCAAAAGAACCCACCTACAGTGGAGATAGAAGGGGAGTAATTAAATATAGTTTGTACAGAGTCAGGCTGTTAAGACTAAGGGATTCTTTCTTCAACAACCCAGGTAGCAACATATATTAAAGTTCTCAAGGTTAGGAAAAGTCACTATATTTGTATACTTCCTTAATTTGGGGAAAATAAAATGTAACCTAGGAGAAAATATAAAAACATCTCCAAGGCAAATTCAGAAAACTCTTCCTTTTAACACCAGTTTTGCAAAGACTGCATTTGTGAAGCATAGAGTTTGGTGAGTTGAAGTGTTTGCTATACTAATTTAGACTACCATGATTAGCACAACTGTAAAAAAGACAAACCAACAAACAAACACTGTTGATAATATAAGCAGACGATGGCTGGTGACTAGCAAAAAAATAAATGTACCATCTTAGCTGCTGTGGATTATTCCTAAAATTATAATAAGATGATTAAGGCTTTACCTGTGCAATCAATTTTACTTGTGAAACTGACTAATGAAGGTGTTCAGAGAGTCCCAAACTTCAGCCAGTATAATTTTTGCCCCATCTTTTACCACATGTGCTGCCATTTAACATGTTTTTTCTTTAATTAAAAAAAAGTAACAACATTTTTAAAACTCAGTGAATATTGCTATCTAAAATCATCTCAAAGAGGCATTCTTTGGAAAACATGTCAATACCAAAGTAATAACAATAATAATGATAAGTTAAGACTATTTCAAAGTAACTCTATGAGACAGAGACATGATGGTAGAGAAGAAATCAGAATTCTTAGAGCTCATGGGAAAATGTTGAGGTAAATCATATGCTCAGATTACAGTTTGCTCTTTGCAGCTTTATTTAAGAAGCAAGTTAATGTTTACATGACATTGAACTTCAAAGTCCAGGCAATAAGGAGGAAAAGAGAATGAGAGGAAAACAGTTAATGTGCTTTGCCTCCTTGCTCCTCCCAACCCATGGAGAGGCAGTGGGGTTACAGGGGAGCAGGGTGGGGGACAGGAAACAGCCACGGGAAGGAAACAAAGCAGGGGGATTAAGGTTTTATCTTATCAGAGTGCAATAATGTTTTATTAAATTGTAAAAATTTATTGTGCTAAGATACAAGTACTATGTTTCCTAACTCACATGACAATTATTCTTGTTAGAGTTTCAGTATCTTTAAATAATAATCCTCTTTTCTACAGTCTCGGTGTGAAACTCTGTGCCTTAATTCTCTTTGAAGTGATCCAATCTCTGATCATGTTGTGTTTTTTACAATGATACTCTTGGTTTATAGGAACAAAGTGTTGTTTTTGAAACAAAGTAGGACTTTATTTATCTATAATACAATGAAAATATCTTCTGCATCATTATTCTTTTCAAGTACTTCCTTTCTAATTCTTCTTTCTTGAGAAGGGTGGTGTCACTTATTTCTGACTTTGCAGTTAGGCCAGGCTCACTTGTGGCACCAGCAGAGCAGACAAAGGGTGAGGCTTTGCCAGATGGACCCCTGGACAAGGAGGCATCCTTCTAGGCCTGCTTCGAAGGGGACCTCCATGCCCGAAGGGAAGTCATTTTACCTGCATTTTAAAATCTTGTGATGTAGTTTTTTTGAGGTGTGTGTATTTAGACACATTTAGAAATATTAAGTCCCATAAAAGGTCTCTATAGAGTCAGACTCTATAGTTGACAGGCCGGTGTGTTCTTAAAAGGGTGTCTGAAAGAAAGGAAAAGAAGCTGAAGAGATGTTGTCTTCAAATGAAAAGGCAGGATGAGATTTAAAAAGCTAACTGCCTCTTTCCTCAAGGAAGTGGGGCATAACTCCATATTCCTTAAGTGTGGGCCACACACAGACTTCCTTCCAAAGAGTACAACATGGAAAGGGGGAAAAAGGGAAATCTGACAAACACTATCTTAGCCAGGCGATTAAGGTCAACATCAGCAGTGATGATGTTGATGGTCTGTACCTTGATATGATGTGATGGGAATAGCACCTTACCTCTGTGGTCTTCCTCCCCCAAACCCATGACCCCAGTCCAACCATGAGA